TCTGCGGGACAACTTCCTTGATCTCGTCGACTTCACGGGTGCTTCGGCCGTCACGGCCGGCAGCCTCGTGTTGCCTCTACTTTTCTATCTGAAAGTCTTCTGGAACCAGTTACCAATGTATGAGCGTGTCGGGGCTATGGTGATCATCATTGTGTCCTCGGTTTTGGGCGTGTACGTCATGATCTACGCCGGTAAGAACCTGTTCAACCCAGATTCGGACACGGCGACGTTCCCCTACTGCTCGGAAGAGTTTCAGTCGGATCCGTACTATGTGAGAAACTCTACTATGTCGGACTGAATAGACTGTAAGCTTAGTCGTAGTTATTAGCTTTCAAGAAATAAAAAGTTATTGCAGTTGTTGACAACAGCTTCAACCGCATCAACATGCACACCCATGTTCTGTCGATCACCACGACGTCCATGCCGAACAAGAGACGCCCCGTTAAACCAACCACATCTTCCGCCAAGTTGACCGCGCCCCAATGTCGAGGGCGCGGCCATTGTTTGGACGCTGGTCTGCCGCTGCAAATTAGCGTCTCAACGTCATGTCACATGGGATATACCGGTATGCGATTTTTTTGAAAGAATGTCGCCGCAAAAAAAAAAACACTCCGCGTGCCAGTGAATCTTACTTACACGTATTAGGCACTCACACGATATCTTGCGGCGTGTACGCACTGCCAGTGCAACGAGGCGTCTGCGCGGTCGTACTACGACTCGTAGGCATCCGAGAAAACTGACAAGGCTACCTATGGAAATGAGTATGCGTAAAAATAATCTGAGCTCAAAAATAGTCTAGATCAGACTACAAATTGTCTACAGTACACAACATATCAACACTAAATTAGACAGCCCAACCAAAATGACACCAACGAACCTAAGTACGAATCACGATTTATCTTTTAAGCCGGCGAAGTTGCAGACTCTAAAAAAATATCTCTCCGTCCCAGACCAAAAATGTTTTTTATTAGCTAGCTAGACGTAAATTTTGGCGGCAGAGCCAATAAATGGAGCTGCTGAAACGATGCCGAACATTTTCAAAAGCGGTTTTTTTGATTATTGGCGAGGGTATCCAATATTATTGGATAACCCTGGCTTCGCGTGGTGTAAACGTCATCCGTCATCTCCGCGATTTAATCCCAAAGTTCGACATAAACCCGTCAAACCATTGTCAGCTTCGATGAAACGCTGTTTGCCGAGAACAGTAGAGACCGAACGCTGGAGGAACGCGGTGCGGCGGATGTGCTGGTCAAGTCTTTCGGGAAAGTGCGTGTTACAGCTGGGTTTGGTGCCTTTTCCGATGGTACCAAGTTGAAACCATGCCTAACGGTAAATAGCAAGGTTCCAAGCGAGACCACTGAAGCTGGTGTACCCATTCTGATTAACCGCAAGTTGTGGATAAATACGGAGTCATTCATTCGCTATATTGATTACATGTTTCCATATGTTAAGCCGAATTCTCTCCTGCTAGTCTTTCACTCAGCGCGCTCGCATATTAGCAAACGATCGAAGGCACACCTCTAAGCGCGAAAGATCCTATACGCCGTAATTTCCGGAGGAATGTCTCCGCACTGGCTGAGCGAATTGACAGCCGGAAGCAGCACGAACCGCACAAGTACACATCGGGTGGTAACACTAGACCACCAACACGTTCGCTGATGATCGAGTGGACCAAGGAAGCGTGGGCGCAAGCGCCAAATGCTGTGGTCCGTCGCAGCTTTCGCAGATGATTCATGGGCCTTGACTATGAGCTGACGCGCTGGCACCACACAGAATATGGCGCTCTGTATAAAACCCAGCCGATTTGCGAAGAGTCGGTTGGTATTGAATTGGCGCCGCTCACTACTTCAAATGCTCCTACAGTACAACGGGAGCTTATTCATTGCGCGGCGGATGTAGTTCGTGAACATATCGTGGAGAATGAACTTGGACAAGGGTATTTTGCGCTCCTAGTAGATGAAGCAACATGTGAAGGTGGAAAAGAAAACATGGCTATTGTAGTCCGGTTTTTATCCAGGCATACTGGTGAAATTCGAGAACGTCTTCTGGGTTCGGTTCACGTTCGCGATACCTCTTCTGAGTCACTTAAATCTGCGTTGATAAATCAAATAGCAATTTGGGGAATAAACATTTCTCGGTGCCGTGGCCAAGGATACGATGGGGCTTCAAACATGTCTGGTGGATATAATGGGCTACAAAAATTGATCCGAGATACTTGCCCGTACGCTTACTACGTTCACTGCTTCGCTCACCGCCTTAATCTTGCAGTAGTGACTGTATCAAAACAGACTGTCTCTGTGACGGAATGCTTCAACATCGTTCAGTCTATTCACGCTACTTGTAGTGCATCATACAAAAGGAAAGACAGTTTGTATGGTTACGCGCAAGACGAACTACAACAACTAATCAGCAGTGGTTATCTGGAAACCGGTCGAGGTAAGAACCAGCCTCTTGCAACTCAGGCTTTAAGTGCCACGCGCTGGAATTGTCGTGTGCGAGCTTTATTACGGATTAGATGGTTATGGACTCCAATTATTCAAGTATTAAGGCGCGTGGAATTAGATGGAGCCAATCCCGACAAGCGAGCTGATGCAAAGGGCATTATTACAAAAATGCAAACATTTGATTTTGTTTTTCACATGGACATTCTCATAGTGGTATTGGAAAAAGTAAACATCTTGTCTCAATATCTACAAAAGGATGACATGGATATAGCCTCGGCTTCA